AGGGGAGTGTTATCATTTGGGGTTTGTAGGTGAGGTGAAATGGGTTGTGCTGAACTACACAGGTAACATGTGGCACATCCAGGCTTTCTGATTGAGATACCTTACTTTCTGCCTATTGTCAAGCGAGCTAGATCCTGAAGAGCAATCTTGCCACCAGAACTGGCGGAGTTGAATCAAAGAGCAACATCTTTATTTTCAGCCAGGAGCAGTCAGGTCAAGGGCAAGAAGGCTGTTGACTGAAAAAAAGGAAGATAAGCTGCTTTATAGAGGAGTTTCAGCAGGGGAGGAGGAGTTCCACCCAGGGAGACAGAAAATTTTAAGTTTCTCAGGGGTCTTTGCTGGGTCTGGTGCCCCTGGGGGAAGAGAAGTGCAGGATAACTATGGGATTGTGCTGATTTACAGCGTGGCAGTCTTAGATTTATAGGGTTTCCCGTAAGCCTGAGAACCACATGGAAGCCGTTCTGATGAACATTTATTTTAGTCTCTTGGGCTGAGTGAGGGGGCTTCCTGTTTTAACAGACTGGTTTGTCAGGGGTTTTTTCTCTTCAAGTTGGATGGGGTCCAGTGTGCGGACCTAACACCTATTCTTCCATAAATGTTACATTAGAGAAGTAGGATAAGTTGACGTAAGAGTCTGTTAAACAAAACAGCAACAATAAATAAAACTACTTGTTAAGTAGTCTGGGCAGTAACAAGGAACAGAAGATGAAAGAAAAAAGAAAGTGAGGAATAGCAAAGAATGGGGATAACATGAGCATAGTGGTAAAAAGTATTCTGAATGTAGCCTGCCTCAGCTTGAATACTAACTCTCATGCTTTGTGATAAGTGTGTCATTTCTCTATGCTTCTGTCCTTATTTATAAAATGAAGATAATAGTAACTTATAGGGTAAAGAATAAAAGGGTAGGGGCCGGGGAGATGGCTAAGTGGAATAAGTGCTTCCCTGGCAAGCGCAAGGGCCTGAGTTTAATCCCTGGTTCTGCCAAAAAAAAAAAAAAGAATAAAAGGGTAGTATTTGCCTTCTTATGTCAAGACCTATTTATTTCATTTTTTGGAGTTCTCATTTTTTTGTAAAATATGGACATAGAAAAATGAATAAAAGTTGTGTGTGTGTGTGTGCGCGCACATGCCGAATTATTTAATAAGGCAAATGGACATATAACCAGAATCAAGTTAAAGAAACAGAATTCTGCCATTACCAGAAAAGGCCACTTTCTGTCCTCTTTCATAGCCTTCTTTTTTTATTTTTTGTGTTTGGTACAGGTTCACACTATGCAGCTTGGACTCATGATCCTCCTGTTTTCAGCCTCTCCAGTGCTGGGATTACAGGCACCCCCCACCACACCCCAACTTGGTGGCTGGCTCAGTGCACCCAGGGGCAGGGCTGGCATGGCCTGTGGTCCTGGGAATCGAACTCTGGTCCCTGTGCTTGCCTAAGCAGGTGCTTAGTCTGCTGAGCTATCCTGAGGGCTCTCTATCATAGACTTCTGTTTTCTCTCTATAGTAGATTTGTTTTGTTTTCTCCTCAAAATTATCAATATTTGGGCAGGATAAATCTTTGGTAAGAGATCCTCTTGTGCATTGTAGAATGTTTAGCAGCACCCTTGATCTCTAGCTTTGGGGTGCCGGTAGCACTACCCCAGTTGTAACAACCAGTTGAACAAAGTAGACTGTGGGTGGTGGGGCAGGGATCTCCATTAGAAAGTTCTTGTAGAAACTTGGTAAGAAATGATAGTGACCTGGTTCTGGATATATTTGAAGGTGAAGCCAATAATACTTTCTAATAGATTGAATATATATGCTAAGAAAAAGTCCTGGGTGACTCCAGGAATTTTGACCTCAGCAACTTTCAGGATATAGATTCCATCAATTGAGTTGTGGCTATGTTAGGCTTGAGTTATCAAGTAAGGATTTTTTTTAAAAATGTATTTAGTACAGAGTCTACAGGGTCTAACTATACAGATCGTAGTGATTCTCGTTTTTGGCCTCTCAAACACTGGGATTACAGACCTGCGCCACCGCACCCAGTTTCAATTGAACTCCGGTCTCTGCATCTGCCTAAGCAGGTGCTTTAATCTGCTGAGCTGTCTGGCTAGCCCTTAAACTAAAGATATTGAAGATGTGTTTAGATATACAAATCTGGGGACGGGGAGATGGCTCAGAATAAGGGCCTGAGTTCAATCCCTGGTTCCGCCAAAAAAAAAAAAAGATATACAAATCTGAAATTCAGAAGTGAAGTTTAGGCTAAAAGTATTAATGTAGATGGTGTGGTCTGAATTATAGAACTTTCTACAATAAGAGAAATGTTTTCTATCTATACCGTCTAATATGGTAGTCACTAGCCACAGATGAGCTATTGAGCAATTCAAATGCAACTGTTGTGACTGAGATACTGAACTTTATTTTACTTAATTTAAATTCATGTGACTAGTTGCTACTGTATTGGACAACATATATGTAATGGTATTAAAACTCTTAGGCCCAATAAGATTACCAAGAGAGAAGATAGATGGAAAAGCAGGCCAGGACTAAATCTTAGAACTGCAAGTTTACAGAAGTGTGAGAGATGAGGAACAAACAGTAAAGGAGTCAGAAAAAGCAGGGTCAGGTGAGGTAGAGAGAATACTTGGAAGCCTAGTGACCCTGCTTTAGTGTGGAGGACTCGGATCCCTTTGGGTCAGGTAAGTTATGGAGTGGGAAATGACCATTGGATTTCACAGCGTGGAGGTTCTTTGGTGATACATCCAGAACGTCGGTGTAATGTGAGGAAAGATAGACTGGTTAGCATTGGTTTAGGAAAGTAAGAGGATTTATTTATCTTGTGTTTCCTGTTTTGCTCACCTTGTTTTCTTTTTCTTTCTTCTTTTAGACAGTTTTTGTGATTGTCTTTTTCCCTTCTTAGTAGACGTTATTTTACATTGTGTATATTTTCTGGTAATAGTTACCTTAAAAATTACATACTATCATACCAGTGTGCAATGTTGAGTTGGACAACACAAGAATCTAGAACATTTTAATTCTACAACCATTCCAAATCCCTTTGGGCTGAGATTTTAGGGGCTTTTTTCTAAATCTATAATGTATTGTTTGTCTCTTTTATGAAGTCTAGAAGGTTCCCAGCCATTATCTCTTTAGATGTTATCTGTCGTGTGTTTTCTGTTTCTCCAATTACAGAGGGGCTTCTTAGACCTTCTCTGTTTCCTGTGTCTTTTAACCTCACACATTTTCTGCCTTCTTCATTCTCTCTGCAGCATTCTGAAGTTTTTGTAACTTGTTTTCCATTCCACTAATTTTCTCTTGAAACTGTTAAGCCTACCTGTTAAGGGTTAAATTTCAGGTATTACATTATTTTCCTAGAAATTTACCCTGATCTTTTTTTGGAACATGCTAAGATATACTTTTGAAAATTTCCATTTTTTCTTTAAGCATAGGAAGCATGTTTTATAATCTTATTCTGATCATTTCTATAGTTGTCCTTTTTCTGCTGTAAGTTTCTTCAGGCTTACACTAATTGTACTTTGTTATTTTTGACTGTGTTTTATTCATGGCCCTTAAAGAATTGTGAGCAGGACTAGCTTGTGGTCTATAACCAAAGTATAAGGAAAGATTTACCTTTTTTTTTTTTGTTAGTTACCTATAAGTTAATAGCAGCCAATCATTATTCACTGCTTTAGGAGTACCTTGACCAGCTTGCAAATCCACATTATATGTAGTTTATTGTAAAAATTAATGACTTCCATTAGTAAATTATTATAAAATTTAAATTATTTAAATAACACAAACATAGACTGGCTGTGGTTATTATTAAGAAAATTTCTTAAGGCCAACCCAAATAGCTCAGCGGATTAAAGCGCCTGCTTAGGCAAATGCAGCAGCCAGGGGTTCAATCCCCAGCGAGCTGTGCTGGCCCTGCCCCTGGACTGCAATTGAGACTGGGCATGGTGGTGCAAACCTGTAATCCTAGCACTTGGGAGGCTGAACACAGGCGGATCACTACAAGTCCAACCTATGAGTGAGACCCTGTAGACCCTTACTAAAATACAAAAAAAGAAAGAAAAAAATTATTAGTAGTTCCTTTCTAAGAGAGTCAAGCTTGTTTACTTCTTGTTAACACATATTCTTGAGGATAACTTTTTGTTAAATCGTTCTTTACTTGGAGCCCTTGGCTTTTATCTTCTGTTTCCCTAAAACTTGTTAAGGCTTTGAAAACATCAGCTCAGGTCTCTTGGATACAGCAAGTACCTTCAAAGCAACAGTGGTTCCTTGAGTCCTTTGCCTCTCCAGGTTCCTTAATTTTGCACACAAAGTTTTGATGCTTTTCAAAAGATTTTTAAAAGTATTTTTCCAGTGTTTTGACCAAATAACCTAACCTGTTAGAATGGATCATCTCATTTATCTTTTTATCAAGCTGAAAAATAAGAACTTTATTTTACGTTTACAGATTTCTAAGAAGTATCTCAGGCATAAAAATCATTTAAGATATCTTAGGCAGCCAGGCACAGTGGCCACATAGCTATAGTCCTAGCTACTCAAGGGGCAAAAGCAGGATTGCTTGGGTCCGGGGATTCAAAGCTGTCCCAGCCAACATAGTGAAACCTTGTCTGAGGGGGGAAAAGAGACTTCATTAGGAAATCCCAGTACTTCTGCATTTATTTTGCATGCATATACATTTTATTTTTAACACATTTATTTAGCAACATGGTCTTGCTATACAGTTCAGGCCAGCCTTGTGTGCACTTTTTTATAGCCCCTAGACTGGTCACCAACTCACAGTGATCTTCCTGGCTTAGCCTCCCTAATGTTGGGATTACAGGTGTGCACCACCAGACCCAGTTTTAGGCCAGCATAGCATGCTGGGCCAGGGATTGAACTCTGGACCTTGTACTAGCAGGCAGGCGCCCATGCCTCTGAGCCATCTCTCCAGCCCTGTAAATACATTTTAACAAATGGTAAAATGCTTTTAAATTAAATCAAGTAATTTATCTTTTCTGATTTACATAGGCCTAACTTCTTCCGTGCTTAAAATCTGTGAAAAATGGCAAATGTGGATGATAGACATGACCTCATCTCTGAAGTAGATCATGAAGTAAATCCTGGGCCCATGAATATCCAGTTTGATTCATCAGACCTAAGATCAAAAAGGTAAGAGCTTATGACGCTTCATGATTAGAATTTTTAAGACTGAAATATGAATTATATCTATATATGTGTAGAACTGAGTATAAAATGCTGAATTTCTTTTT